TGGTAATCTACTGCCTCGTAGATACCCCAAATATAAACCAAGGTCACACATGCCTGTACATATATATACAATACAAGCCCTCACTGAGACATTCCTTATATTCTTTGGAGTTCCAGACATTACTGATTGTGACCAAGACACTTATTTCACTTCTCAGAATACACAATATTGGGCTCTTAAACAAGGCATTCAATGGAAACTTCGCCTTCCTTACAGGCTACAGGCTTCAGGCTTCATAGAGTACCATAATGGCTTATTTAAACAAGTTCAAATTCAATTAAATGAAGCATATCACATTTTTTTTGTCACTCAAACATCAGAAGTGAATTATAATGAAGAGCCCGACTCCATTTTTTTTTTTTTTTTTTTTTTTGAGACAGAGTCTCACTTTGTTGTCCAGGCTAGAGTGAGTGCCTTGGCATCAGCCTCGCTCACAGCAACCTCAAACTCCTGGGCTCAACCAATCCTCCTGCCTCAGCCTTCCGAGTAGCTGGGACTACAGGCATGGGCCACCATGCTCAGCTAATTTTTTGTATATATATTTTTAGTTGGTCAATTAATTTCTTTCTATTTTTAGTAGAGACCAGGGGTCTCACTCTTGCTCAGGCTGGTTTTGAACTCCTGACCTCGAGCAATCCGCCCGCCTTGGCCTCCCAAAGTGCTAGGATTATAGGCATGAGCCACTACGCCCGGCCCCGACTCCATTTTTTGATGTTTGAGTGCTAACATCTTTTAAGCCTCACCCCTTTAAGCCTCTCCCCTTATGCCCCACATTTGGGCAAGCCAATAAGAAAGCCTTAGTGCTACCGCCTTTGGTGCTAGCAGGAGTTACAAACTATGCAAACCCTTACCCACGCACAGAAACCCTCGCCTAAGCCCCACCCTTAACAGCAATTAAAGTCCAAGCCAGCCTCCTTTCCTTCCTTCTTTCCTTGCCATTTTTGGACCAACCTGGGGGACCTAGCTGCTCTCCCCACATAGCTCCATTACATAAGTAATAAACAGGCTGGGTGCGGTGGCTCACACCTGTAATCCTAGCACTCTGGGAGGCTGAGGCCGGCGGACCTCTCAAGGTCAGAAATTCGAAACCAGCCTGAGCAAGAGCGAAACCCTGTCTTTACTAAAAATAGAAAGAAATTAATTGTCCAACTAAAAATATATAGAAAAAATTAGCCGGGCGTGGTGGCGCGTGCCTGTAGTCCCAGCTACTCGGGGGCTGAGGCAGAAGGATTGCTTGAGCCCAGGAGTTTGAGGTTGCTGTGAGCTAGGCTGATGCCAGGGCACTCTAGCCTGTGCAACAGAGTGGGACTCTGTCTCAAAAAACAAAAAGTAATAAACATTTTCATACCCTCTTGAGTGAATATGTGGTATCATCTGTCTTGATCTTTGAACCAAATTTTGGGAGAGGATTCATCTTGTTACTGTATGATCATCTCAACACATGACTGCCATGTCTCTTTTCATGATCTCAAGGTAAATACTGCAGCTCCAAATAACACATTCTCATACCTGCATCCCAAACATAAAGGATGGGGACTCATGGTGAAAGGATTTTACTTTATTGGTCCTCTATCTAATCACAAAGGACAATCTTTCCCTGAAACCCTCCCAAAATTTCTTGATATCTCTCATTGACCAACACAATGTCCACCCCTAAACCTATTACCAACAAACGGGAACAACATTCAGTGAAAGCAATGATGACAGAATACCCAGCACTTGCCACATCACTGTCTGAGCAATGTAAAGGTTCTGTTAGCAAGAGAGGGGGCTTTACTGTTGGTTATTAACAAACAATATTTGCCACATGAATGTGGAGACAGTCACTTTTCAGATATTTTATGTAAAATTTTTGCAGATATGTTGGTATATTTTGTGTTGTATTATTTTGTACACTATTTTTCTGATTACCTATTAAAATTTTGTTGGATTCACAAAATACACTGGGGATCTGTCGATTTTTTTCTTATGGTGTGGAATATACATCTTTAACTTATAATAAGCATCTTTAACTTATCATAATAGACCTTCAAAAGTTATACTACTGGCCGGGCGCGGTGGCTCACGCCTGTAATCCTAGCATTCTGGGAGGCCGAGGCGGGCGGATTGCTCGAGGTCAGGAGTTCGAAACCAGCCTGAGCAAGAGTGAGACCCCCGTCTCTACTATAAATAGAAAGAAATTAATTGGCCAACTAATATATATAGAAAAAAATTAGCCGGGCATGGCGGCGCATGCCTGTAGTCCCAGCTACTCGGGAGGCTGAGGCAGGAGGATTGGTTGAGGCCAGGAGTTTGAGGTTGCTGTGAGCTAGGCTGATGCTACGGCACTCACTCTAGCTTGTGCAACAAAGCGAGACTCTGTCTCAAAAAAAAAAAAAAAAGTTATACTACTTAATATGTAATGTGAGAATCTCACAACAAGGAATTGCTCTTGGAATATTAACCAAAAGTAACATATAAATGTTGGTCCAATCTCTTCACAGCTATATTTATGAATGAGATGGGTCAATAGCATTCTTTTGGTAATTTATTTTTCTCATTGGGTATTATGCCTACACAAAATGATCTGGGAAGCTCTTTATACTTTTCTATGGCTGAAAAAACATACATCACCATAATTATCTGATTTTAAAGGTTAAATGGAAATTAACATGGAATCAATTTTACGCTTTTAATGACTGGCTATAACTATGCTTCTAGAATTTGGAATCCCCAGGACTCAGTCCACCATTTTCTATTCATCTCTATATGAGTTTCTTCTCCCTAGGGGATCTCAGGTCCATGGTTGTTAAATACCATCAATTCACTATTGATTTCCAAATTTATATTTCCAACTCAATTTCTCTCCTGTACTCCACATATGTATATCCCAGAGGGCCTACTTGATATTTCCCACATCCTGGTTGCTAAGAAATATCACAAACCACATCTCTGAAATTGTACTCTTACTTTTTCCTTTCTTTTCCAAGTTTTCTCCATCTCAGAAATGGCACCACCCACTTGCTCAGTTTTAAAAACTAGGGGACATCCTTGGCTCCTTTATTTCCTTAATATTTACATCCCTTATTCAAACTTTCTATAATACCTGTCAATTTTACTTTCAAAATATATTCTCAGTCTCTCTCCTTGTGTTCACCTCCAGTAACACCACTTTAGACTAAGCCAAATCTTGATCATTTCTTACTTAGTCAATTGCAAGAGCTTCTAAACTGTTATCCATATTTATATTCTTTATCTTTATATAACCTCTATTCCATGCAACATTCAGAGTAAAACATTTCAGATCTGATAACACTACCACTAGCAACATTACATTGTCACCCCCTCACACCCAGAATAAATTCAATCTTCTTAATATTACTCTGAGGCCATACAAGATGACACCTTTGTTTATATTTTCAACATAATATCATTCCTCTCTCTCCCTAACTTATCATGCTCTGGTCACACAATTCTTTTCTATTCCTTGAAGCTTGAAGCACTTTCCACACCAAGACTTTTGCCACTAGAGCTCTAGATCTGAGCTCAAATGTCATCTTCTCAAAGAGATCTTCTCTAAACTCCTTATATACAGGGGACAATCTTAAACCCTACCTCTCACATCAATTTATACATTAACTTGATAGCACATATCATAATTACCTTGCTTATTTATTTACTTTTTTCATTATTATTCCACCAATGGGATATAAACAGCATGAGGACCAGGAACTTCTCAATATTTTTCATTTTTTCTCAAGTGAATTTACTATTCACTTGACATTCAGTAATTATCTGTCAAAGGAAGAAAAATATGGATCTGATAATCAAGAGAGAAGTCTAAGCTGAAAATACAGAGTTGTGATAGAAGTAGTATTTAAAATTAGAGAAGCAAATAAGTACATTCAAGGAGAGCATATAAAATGAAAAGAGGAGTCTGGACACAAAACTTGGGAAATTTGAACTTTGGGGCCTTGGGCAGAAGAAGAACAAGAAGTTCAAAGAAACTGAGAAAGATAAGCCAGAGGAGTAGGAGGAACATCTGTAGAATTTGATGTCACAGAAACTAAGACAAGACGGAGTGCCAAGGAGGGAATGTTCAACAGAATCAAACCCTACTGAAACATCATGTGAGAACCAAATTTTTTTTTTTTTTTGAGACAGAGTCTTGCTCTGTCCGGGGGCTCAATTGCTCGCTACAGCCTCAAACTCCTGGGCTCAAGCAATCTTCCTGCCTCAGCCTGAGTAACTGGGACTACAGGTGCATGCCACCGCGCCGGCCATGAACTAACTTTCGAGAATTCGCTAGTTTATTTTTTTGTTGTTTGTTTGTTTGTTTTTGAGACAGAGTCTCTCTCTGTGGCCTTGGGTAGAGTGCAGTGGGGTCATCATAGCTCACTGCAACCTCCAACGCTTGGGCTCAAGACATCCTCCTGCCTCAGTAGCTGGGACTACAGGCGTGCGCCAATTTTTTTTATTTTTTATTTTATTTTATTTTATTTTATTTTATTTTATTTTATTTTTTGAGACAGAGTCTCGCTTTGTTGTCCAGGCTAGAGTGAGCGCCGTGGCGTCAGCCTAGCTCACAGCAACCTCAAACTCCTGGGCTCGAGCAATCCTCCTGCCTCAGCCTCCCGAGTAGCTGGGACTACAGGCATGCGCCACCATGCCCGGCTAATTTTTTACATATATATCAGTTGGCCAATTAATTTCTTTCTATTTATAGTAGAGACGGGTCTCGCTCTTGCTCAGGCTGGTTTTGAACTCCTGACCTTGTGCAATCCGCCCGCCTCGGCCTCCCAGAGAGCTAGGATTACAGGCGTGAGCCACCGCGCCTGGCCCTTTTTTTATTTTTTGTAGAGATTCTATTTTCTATATTTTGTAGAGACCCTATTTTTTGTAGGGTCTCACTCTTGCTCAGGCTGGTCTCGAACACTTGAGCTCAACCGATTGTCCCGCCTCAGCCTCCCAGAGTGCTAGGGTTACGGGCGCGAGCTCCCATGCCCGCCCAAATCCGCTAGCTTTTGTACTGAGGCAGGGACTGCTGGAGACCTTAGAGAATGTTCGCTAAAGTTTTGGGGGTGAAAACCAAAGTGCAGCAGGTTGAGTGGCGAAGGGAGCACAAAGAAGTGAACATAGCGTAGAATATTTTCTAATGAAGAGAGAAAGGATGGCGTCCAGAAGGGCAAGATATACGATAGAGGAAATGATTTTAAGCATGGAAGGAACCTGAACAGGTTTACTGTACGGGAGAAAAATATCCAGTAGAACAGCAGATGAGGGAGATGCAGGCAAGACAGGGGACTAAGATTAATTAAAGTCCTTGAGAAAATGGAATAGGAGATACTGGGATCTAGAGCATGGAGATAAGGTTTAGCAAGATAAGGGACTTCATGGCTCAATCACTTGATTTGTTTGATAACAAGGTCATCTTCTTAAGGTGAAGAGGGAAGAGTGCAGACAGCTTGAGACTACAGAAGGCTTGATATAGCAATTGAGAATTATGGGAGAAGGAGCTGAGTCAAAAAGAGCCCCTCGTACATCCACCTACCCCACCCTCAGATTAGAAATTCATACTACGTGCCTGGGTGTTATCTCTCAGAACCTCTTGGAAACAAGAGTCCTCAGTAGGCTCACTGCAGTCTTCAGCACTGCCGCCCAGCCGACCTTCCCTGTAGGGGGCGCTGTGACACGTTGCTCTCTCTCCCAGGCAGAGCCCAGAGCGGGACTCAATTTGCCCGCCTAGCGCGAGAGTTCTCTGGAGGACGGTTGGTCCCAGCAGGCCTTGCGGCAAGACTCGGAGTCTCTCTGTGGTGTGCTACCCTGTCGCTCCGGTAGGGGTTGGTGGCCCTCCCGGAGGGCCCAGATAGACTTCAGGGATTAACTTTTTGTGAGGAGGACGGGACAAGGGGGAAGGAGGCTGAGGAGGAGGCTAAGACTGGACAAGGAATGTAAAAGGACTAAGCGAGGAGGTGAGGGGTAGACCGGTTGACGGCCCACCGTTTCTAACGGTAGTTGTGGTGGGTCGTCTGACTAGGCCGCCACAGCCATGGCCTTTGACTTTGGGGACCGCAGGAGCGGGTTTTGCCACAGAGAAGTGGTCATGTTCATCAATGAAGAGGTTGTCAATAATGGTGGCAGCCCAGACTTCTACCTGAGCTTCTGCTCGCGGCCCTGGAACGAGATAGAGGACGGCCTACGCGCCATCGTGGCCGATCCACAAGTGCCGCGCGCCATCAAGCGGGCCTGTGCTTGGAGCGCGCTGGCCCTGAGCGTGCGCGTGGTCGCGAGGCAGCCAGAGCAGCAGGCACGCCAGGTCCGGTGGCTGCGGGAACAGATGGAGGGGCACGAGGCAGCCAACCGGGCTTTGGCCTCCGACCTGCAGCGGGTGCGCCAGGAGCGTGAGGAGGTGGTCTTGCAGTTGCGTCGCGCGCGAGACGACCTGCAGCAGGTGCTGTACGAGCGTGACATGCTGTACTGGCAGCTGCTTCAGGCGGAGAGGTCCGCCCAGGCCGACACGCTGACCCAGGACGATGAAGAGCAGAGTGAGGCACTGGCCGCAGGGTCACAGGGTGGGCAAGTTGTGTTGTCCCTGACGGAGGAGGCCCAGATAGCATCTGTGACAGATGTGCTTTACCAACCAGGACTCCCTAGTCCCTGGGTCCAGGTTGTTCAACCCCCTCTGCCAATGCCGATGCCCGCACCATTGCCTGCACCATTGCCCGCACCATTGCCGGCACCATTGCCTGCACCATTGCCCGCACCATTGCCTGCACCATTGCCTGCACCATTGCCGGCACCATTGCCCGCACCATTGCCTGCACCATTGCCCGCACCATTACCCGCGCCATACCCAGTGGCATTCCCGTACCTACCACCTTCCCCACTTAGTCTAATCTCGGAAGGGGAAGTGATGGCAGGTCTTTCAGTCCCACCCCAGTTGCCTATTGGGTATATCTACCCACCTGGCCTGCAGTCCGCTGCAGTGGAGTCCCAGGAGGAAATAGCCTTGCGGAGGGCCCAGAGGAGCCAAAGTCAGGGGGAAGGTCCTGTGAGGCCTCCTGGGATGGCCCCCCTGATTGACAGCAGAAGCCAAGTCCAGGAGGAAAGTGCTGTGAGGCCCCGTTTCAGAAACCTCTCTGAGCACGGCTTGGACCAAGGAGACTCAAGGAAGCAACAATCTCAGGTACAAATGGCCAAGCTACCAAAAGGTAAGAAAGACTTTGATCCCAGCAAAAGGAGAAACTTGCCCCAGACCTCAGGAGGACAGATTGAGATTGCCCATGGTGTAAAGTGTGATTCATTTTTCTTGACACTTGCTATAAATGCAAGAAAATCTAGATACTGGTTGAGGTGAGAAGCCCTGACCCCAAATAAGTTCCTCACTGCATTCAGGGAGGTAGAAAAATAATGGAGACATAGAAAAATGAGTTTCTGGAGACCCCCTTCTGGTAAAAGCAAACAAAACACACTAACTCTTAGCTTGGCATGATGGCGTGCACCTATAATCCCATCTACTCAGGAGGTTGAGGCAGGAGGATCACTGGAGCCCAGAAGTTTGAGGCTACAGTGTGCCATGATGGTGCCTGTGAATAACCTCTGCACTCCAGCCTGAGCAATATTGCAAAACCCCATCTCTTAAAAAGAAAAAAAAATCTCTTTTATTTACATCATAGAAAATTTGAAAATCCATCAAACAAAAATTTTCATTATCCCACCATTAAGCAATACCATTTTAAACACATTAATATATCTATTTCTACATATGTATCTCTTTCCCTAGTTTTACATTGTATATGTCTATGGGTGTATATAACTTGTATTGTTTTCAAGAAGGATGAAATCCTATTGAATATGTCAATTAATCTCTAAAAGGAAAATTTCTCCAGTTGCATTTAAGTTCACAAGTGGTAGACTCTGGATGGGCTGCTACCAATTGGTTGACAGCCTGGAGAAGCTGACGTTATGGAACATTCTCTTTTTCTCCTTCTGCGTTCTCTTGGACCTCCTCTCTCCCATAACACCAGGTCTTTGGCTGAGAATAGTATTGCTTTTAGGACATAAGATACATTATGTTCCAGTAGCACTGCTTTTTCCTTGAGAATGCTATTGTTATATTGTAAACTACAGCAGTGTTCATATTTGTTTCTTGATTTATTTTTATAACATTCATAGATGAGGGCCTATTCTTTGTGTCTCCAAGCTCCAGGAACTTTGCATGAAGCTAAAAAAGCTCCACCTCCCAAAGCTGAAGAAGCTCCGGCTCCCAAAACTAAAGAAGCTCAGGCTCTCATAGCCGAAGCAGCTCCGGCTCCCAAAGCTAAAGAAGCTCTGGCTCCCAAAGCAGCTCCGGCTCCCAAAGCAGCTCTGGCTCCCAAAGCCGAAGCAGCTCCGGCTCCCAAAGCTAAAGAAGCCCCAGCTCCCAAAGCCAAAGCAGCTCTGGCTCCCAAAGCCGAAGCAACTCCAGCTCCCAAAGCTAAAGAAGCTCTGGCTCCCAAAGCCGAAGCAGCTCTGGCTCCCAAAGCCGATGCAGCTCTGGCTCCCAAAGCCGAAGCAGCTCTGGCTCCCAAAGCCGATGCAGCTCTGGCTCCCAAAGCTAAAGAAGGCCAGGCTCCCAAAGCTGATGCAGCTCCGGCTCCCAAAGCTAAAGAAGCTCTGATTCCCAAAGCTGAAGCAGCTCTGGCTCTCAAAGCTAAAGAAGGCCAGGCTCCCAAAGCCGAAGCAGCTCCTTCTCCCAAAGCTAAAGAAGCTCCAGCTCCCAAAGCTAAGGAAGCTCCTCTGCCTCCCAAAGTTAAAGAAGCTCCGGCTCCCAAAGCTAAAGCAGCTACAGCTCCCCGTGTGTGAATCCTGACAAAATATCCCTCTGGCTCTTAACAACCTTCACCTCAGTGGGACCTTAACTGGCTGGAGCTAAAAAAAAGTGCAAAGAAATCAGGGAAAAGGAGACATTCTGGCACATATTTTGCAACAAGGGAGAGCAGACAGATTTTGTTAGAATTTAATCCTTCTGTTAACAAAATGGGATTGATATAGCCGAGTTCAAATGGGGTTGGGAACGTAGTGTTAAATTTTAGAGATTATAGCAAGTTTGTTGAATTTCATTAATTAATTAAACAAATAGTCATTGATAGCCTAGTATGTGTTAGAAACTACAATTCTAATGTTATTATCTGGTGCACACATTATAATCTAATTGGGTGAGTTTGGTCAGATGACAAAGAGGCCTAATTTGAAATACAGTGTAGATAAGGGGTATGTCTTCTTTTTTTATATGTATTTTTATTCTTAATTTTTTAAATAATTTTTTTCTTTTTCTTTTTTTGTTTTTGTTTTTTTAGTAGAAGCTGCCATTGAAAGGGGGTGTGTCTTCCGAGCTTTGCATGTAGTGTAGCCTTTGGATAAACCCAGTTGAAATAATATAAAGATTTATTTCTGTGAATCTAGGGACATCTAAGAGACTTTCATGAAAGGCTTTGAGTGACTGAACTGCTCGTTTTAGTCCCAGTGGAGATGAATGGGCAGTGGCAAATATTGGGAAAGTGGCCTCACACAAGTACAGGCAGGGCTTTTCTCATCCTCTGCAGATGTCTTCCCTTGAGAGGGACAGCTATTTTCCTAGTTGCCCACCAGCCTGCCTGAAAGACCACTGGGGTGACTTAAGGAAAGACAGTGCTTGGGGAAGTGTTAGCTACATGCTCCAGCCCTCAGCCTTGGGCTGCTCCCATCTCAGGTCCCTTTCCAATCCACGGTGGATGAAGAACAAAATGGATTTCAAGAACAGACATTGGGGCCATCAGGGTATGGATTGTGCTTCTCTTGGGAGGACTAATTGGGTTAAAAATAGAACTGGACTGGGGTGAGAACTCTTGAGGATGCCTTGGACCCCTTCTCTTCCTCTTGTGTTCTATGCAGGCTCTGCTCCCCCAAGGCAAGGAGGGAGCCAGGGTGGAGCCCAGGAGTGGGAGGTTATATCCACCTCCAGTCTGAGCTAAACTTGTCCTCGAGTTCCCCCATAGAATCCCACCCTGCTCACCAAGATCAACCTTTGTCAGGGGCTTTCTGTTCTAACTCATAATAAAGAGTGTGCACTTGCCTGCTGTGTCTACTGTGTACTGTGTATCTTGGGGCAGGCTTGCTCAGGATGGCAGCTTAAATTTGCACCTTCCCTCCATCCCATTAAGGTGAAGAAACATTCAATCTCATCCACTATTGGAGGGTCCCTCCTCCTCTAATGAGTTATCCAAGAATTGGGGGCACCTCTGTGGGGCCTTTAATTCATTGTGATTGTCCCTGCTACCCTCAGTGTCCAAGACTACATGGTCCCTTGAAGGTGGGCACATCTGCTGCTCCAGGGCTGATAGGGCGTGAGGGAAGAGGAGGGGAGGGTGGTTCTGCCTAGGCCAGGAGCCCTAACACCTGGGGTCCAGCCTCCCTCTGTGTACCAAGAAGCCATTTCCCTGAGACCTGTCCCCTGAAGTCCCATGAGCAGAAATTTCCCTCCTGCATTTCTGCCTTCCAAGGCACTGTCCCCTTTCTCCTATGCATAATCCTGTTGTTCTCAGGATTCTGGAAAGCAGCCAGGCTGTGGACTGTCTGCTCATAAGACAAATGTTCTATGAGGCAAAGGAGTGGAGGCCAGCTACCTGCTTGGTGTAGGGATAGAAAAAAAAAAAAAAAGACACTTCCCACCAGCATTCTCACTTCTCTCAGAGTCATGATTTCTGGGAAAGCCTTGGTTACTTTGGAAGGGAGCCCTGGAGAGGAAGGGGCCCATCAGGGATGTCAAACCCAAGGCTAGGTTTTCTGGATTAGGGGCTGGTCTTGTAATACTCATGTGTGCTGATAGCTCCTTGGGATTGGGGGAAGATGGGACACACATGAAACTTGGGAGTGTTATATTTTAATGTGGTTCTCAATGTGTGGTTTCTGGACCAGCAGCATCAGGATCACAGGGGAACGTGTTAAAAATGCAAATTCTCAGGCCACACCTCAGACCTCCTGACCCCAGAAGTTCTCGAAGTGGGGCCTAGCAGGTGATTCTGCTGCATGCTAAAGTTTGAGAACCTTTGTTTTAATCCATTGTGCAATGTGACCAAACCACCATAGATTTCATTATGGTTGGTTCACCTGGGGCTTCATAATATACTCCGATGTCCATTGGAATGTCTGTAAGTCTGTGCACAGTTTTTATATAGCTTAATGTGATTACCCAGTATTTCAGTGCTGGCTTTTTTCACAGCAACCTGCCTGAATCTTTGGCCAGAATCACTGGAGTTGGCTGGCAATTCTCTCTTTGTTCTGGGCTGGGTGCATGCAGGTAAAAGATAGTGTTTGTGGGAAGAGCCTGAGCTTTGGCACCAGAGATAACTGGGTTCAAATACCTGCTCTACTATTCACTAGCTGGGCGGCCTTGAACAAGTTTCTGAATATTTCCAAGCCCCAAAAAGTGTTGGCTTCTTTCCCCTACCCTTGGGGTTCTTCTCTGTGATGCTGGGGTAATGGGTATAAGGGATTCTGACTGCCTACTCATACCACTAAGTGCCTAATTTGTGAGACTTTTTGGCCATTATCCTGTTGGTGACTGTCACAGCTCTGTAAGGTATAGGTATAATAGACACCCTTGTTAATCGTTCTTCAAGGAGAATATTCTATTCCATTTTACAGCTGTACCAACTCAACCACCTATACAAAGTCATTCAGTTGAGAGTTGCTGAAGCCTGGGTTCAAACCCCAATTTGCCTGGCACCAAATTCTGTGTTCTTTCTACCTTAGCACAGTGCCTTGACCTTTTACTCTTACCAATTAATAGCACTTAATGGTCTGCCAATACCTTGACCCATAGAATTAACAATAATGGAGGGACTCTGAGTCTAGAGGCAGTCTGGTGGAGAGGAAAGTGGGCAGAGATGGAAAGAGTTAGGCTTGGTTGGTGTGGATAGTGTTGCTGCTAGAAAAGGAGGTGGTGGAAGGAGAGGATTGAGGCCATAGCTCCTATGGGTGTTGGCCTGGTGAAACCTGCAGAGTCAGAGATGCAGGAGACAGAGAAGCATGCAGTGGTCGACATGTCCCCCACCTCTATCCCCACCAAGACCCTTGCCATCAACACTTCCACTTCCATTCATCTCACTCAACTGCAAACAGTGGCTCCACCCTGGACCTTTCCTGTGAGATCCTCTGCAGACAGCACATAGGGATGGGGAGAGGTACCTTTCAGAGGTGTCACAGGAGGAACTGATAATAAATGTGCTTCTGTATCCCTATGGGGGCCAGAGAGCTGTGCATGATCAAGGCCAGGTGACTGGACTAATCAACAATGTAAAATAAATGAATTTTTGATAAAAAAAAAGTTTCAAATGAGGAGAGTGCCCTGATATCTGGTAGAAGTGAATGCTTTGTCCTCTCATGGGACCACTCTCACTTATGTGTAGAATGAAAGAAAGAATCAGGCCAACACCCCTAGGAGCCATGTCCCCAATCCTTTCCTTCTGCCACTTTTTTTTTTTCTAGCACCAACACTAGAAACCAAGAAACACAAAAAAAAGAACCAAGGAGATTCAAAACCCACTCTCTTGGGAAATCATTTTCCTGAGGCCCTTCTGATTATCAAAGTAAACAGCATTCACCTAAACAGAACTATGAAAGGCAATGAAAAACATTCATAATGCCCAAACCTGGAGGTGACTACTGTTTATACTTTGATATATTTACTTTACACACACACACACACACACACACACACACACACACACACACACACATACATACCAAGACAGGAACCAGTACATATTCTTTTGTGGACTACTCAACTGTAGAAGTAGCGGCTCCAATCTGGAGCCTCTTGTGATAGACTCTGTACCCAGCATGTGGGAGGCTACAGGGATAGGGGGAAGCACTTTCTGTGTGGTAGAGGAGCAGTTATATGGAGAGATAGAGAGAGAGAGGTAGAGCGAGATCTACTTACCAAAACAGAATGGTACACATTTATTTTTAATGTTCATTAAGACAAGAGTATAGTCTCATATTCTTATTGAGACTGAGTTTTAAATAGCTTCATACATTCTGTCATGTCAATGTTTCACAATATACTTAACCAGTTCTATCTTATTGGGCTTATTGGGCATTTAACTTGTTTCCAAATTTTTATTTTCACTCTCAACATTACGTTATTCTGTACCCTGGCCAAGAGTGAATATTATCATTAAAAATATCTTAGCAAGTTTGAAAGGTATCTGGTTTTAATTTATACAAGTTGAGCATCCCTAATTTGAAAATATGAAATCTAACCAAAATCCTAAACTTTTTGAGTGCTGACATGCATTTCAGATTTTCAGATTACAGATACTCAACCAGTAAGTATAGTGCAAATATTCCAGAATCTGAAAAAAAATCTGAAATGCAAAATACTTCTTGTCCCAAGCATTTCAGATAAGGGATACTCAACCTGTATTTCTATGTTTACTAGGAAGATGGAACATTTTTTCAAATTGTTTATCTATATATCTTTCTTTTGTCATGATTTAGCTATTCATGTCCTTATTCCAGCTTACTCATGGAATATTCATCTTGTTTGCTATTTATCTGATAATAAGAATATGAACTTAACCATTTGTCATACTTAAAAGTATTTTCCCTTGTTTGTAGTTTAACTTTGTGTCTGGTGGCATTTTAATGGTGAAAAGCATTAAATTTTTATAAATTGAAATATTTTCCACTGTCATTTCTTCTTTTTCTTTTATTCCTAGGAAGGTCTTCTTTATTTTGAGATAAGATAAACAGCCATCTATATTTTGTTCAACATCTTTATAGGTTTTTAAAAAATATTTAAATTTTTTAATAATTTAATTCTAATTATCCTTGAATTTATTTTGGTGTTGTGAGGTAGGTATCTATATTTTTCCTCAAGATAATTATTCTAGCATCTTAGTATCTTGGCATCATTTTTCAATGTTCTATTCTTTCCCCATTCATCTGAAAAGAACATCTTTATCAAATACCAAATATATATATTAATATATACACACACTATATATACATACATAATATATTATGTATATACACACACTGGTGTATTATGTGTGCATACTGTGTCTTGTCCTTTGAACTGCTGGTCTATTCTTATACCTAACACTTGATTCTAGCTTTATAACACATTTTAAAAAATGCAGTGCAAATTATCACTTATTATCCATCTTTTTCTAAACTTTCTTGGTAGTCACCACCTGTTTTGTATTTACTCAGTTGAAGCTTTATAATCAAATTCTACATTCCTTTGAGTGATAGATAAACTTCCTTCAATTGGATTCTGTGAGACTTAACCTATAACTTCACAGTTCATTCTCTTTTTAACCTAGTTTGAGTAGATTTCAATTCCTGAAGGTTTTATCTCGGCCCTGTTCAATATCGAATTCCTCTTTCCATGATTTTATCTAAACATCTGATATCTATCATCTTTAGAAAGTCCAAATTGATACATCATAAAAAGCTAATATTTATTGCTTACTACGTACTTGGTAGCATTATCTTATTTGCTTTAAAACTTTACAAGATAGGTAGTAGTATCATCTCCATTTCACAGATGGAGAAAACCTAGGCTTAGAGAGGTTAAGTAACTTGTCCAAGGTCACAAAGCTACTGTGTGGTAAGAGCCAAGAATCAAATTCTGTTCTGACAAACCTGCCATAGTATGCTATATAGCACTTAAAAGAAGGAAAAGTGAACAATGAATAGTTTATCTGCTTTAAAATTGAAAATTATATAATAACAACCATAGATGCAGACTTGTTTGTGGAATTGAAATTGGCACAAGTATGTTGTACTAAAGGAAGGTTGTAATGACAGAATGCTTAAAGGCACTGGCTCAGACTGCTTACATTTGAATCCTAGTTTACTGGCTGTCTGACCTGGCTCAGATCACTAGATGATATAATTAGATTATATGTGATAAGTTGTTAATTGATCAGTAACTAATGATTAATGGTAGATAACATAATCCACATATAGCACTCTCCACAATGCCCTGAACCTATCAATCCAAATGTACATTTTTTCAAATTTTAATATCTTTGAAATCAGTAGGCCTCTCATAACCAGTTT